AGATGATTTTACCAGAGACAAGTCAGTGGCTTGAAACGGAACAATATGTGAAAAGAAACTAATTCTAAAATGCTGGAACTGCGGAGTTGAAGGCCACATACGAAGAATACGAAGAAAAAATTGCAGAACATCCCGAGGTACGGAAAATAAGACCATTTCCCAGCAACGACGCAGTAAACAAATTAGTGACCATATCGAGGAACGGAGGTTGTCAGATAATAATGAAAAACCTTGTTTTTTAAAGCGCTTTAAAATTTATACAGTGAGTGGCAACAGTAACGGAATGTCCATTAATGGGAATATCGGTGGAGTTCCTTGCGATATGATCATTGACACAGGAGCTAATGTTACCATCATTAGGAAAGATTTAGCTGAACAGTTTAAAGATAAACTTATTTGGACGCCATCCTGTGTTACCCTTCAGACTGCGTCTGGTGATAAGATCGACATAACTGGGAAGTTAAACGTAAACATCACGTTTGGAAATGCCGCCTACCATCACACGGCTTATGTGGCGGATATCACAGATCCATGCATACTCGGATTGGACTTTTTAAGGAAATACAATTTTTCCTTAGACTTCAAAAACAACAAACTGCTTTCAGTATCTGAAGACATGACTATCCATCCTAAGAAGGGATCCTCACCTGGAAATGCCGACGCTTTGTCCGAAAGAACCAGCTCGAGAAACAGCCGAAATCATGCTAGGGTCGAAAAGAAACACCAGACTACCAGCTATTCTCCATCTCAGATGCTCTCCGGTCGAGACCTTCGTCTGCCTTGTGACCACGTGTTTGATCGCCATACGGATGCGCCTTCATCGCCTGAGGAACACATCCAAGACGCCCAGGCCCGGTTTGAAGTGATGCACAACGTTTGCACGAAAGGAGTCAACTTGGCGACGGAGAAAGGTGAAGACCCAGATATGCGACACAAGAGCTACTAGACATCAATTCCAACGAAGGAGACAAGGTGTGGTTGTGGAACCCGATTCGACTCGAAGGAAAGGACTGTGCCCGAAATTACAGTCACCTTCGGATGGTCCGTACACAGTCCTGTAACAGGCTGAATGACGTCGTGGTTCGGATCCGTGAGTCTTCGAACTCTTACGACAGGTTAGCTCATTACTATGGCCATAGTACGTAATGTAAATAATTGTAAATAGTATAAGACCATGGTCCTTTTTGTTTTTGTATTGATTTGATGTATTTAGTTGATGCATTTGTATTTGATTTGATTGTATTTATTGTATTTGATTTGATTTGTATTTAGTATTTGATTTGTATTTAGTATTGATTGTATTTAGTATTTGTTTGTATTTGATAGCATTTGATTTGTTTTATTTATTGCATTTATTGTTCATGTTGTTTATTATTGTAATGTAATGCTTATTGCATTATGCCCACAGTTGTAAGTTTAGCTTCCTGTCCAGGGATTGTACTGCCCGGGACGTGCAGTCCTTGGGAAGGGGGCAGTGTTTACGAATTTGGTATTTAAAAAGCTAATGTTAGTTCAATTATAAATTAAATGGTTTTATTTCTCGCGCAGTGCAGCGCGTGACGAATATTAAAAGAAAGCTAAGCCGGAAAATTGAAAATACAAGAGCGCGTGCATTAAATAATAAATATCTCTTTTTGATTTCGAGAAAGTACTGGAAAATTCTAGCGCGTGATTTTAAAATCTTATAAAAGGAGGAAAACATCTCAGTTTGCAGTTAGTTGTTGCTTAGTTTGTTGTTGTTTAGAAAAACTGCTCTTGTTGATTGTAGCGAATTCGCGGATTAGCGTTCTTTAGCTGTTTTGAATTACGTTCTATTGGACATTTGAGTAGTTAAAAGATAACTACTGTGAGATATTGTAATACTGCATGATAATTTGAGAAAATTTAAGCATTTTTGTTGTGATAATAATAAATTTTTTTTGTTCATTTTTCATCGGACTTGTGCATTCATTTCATAACGAACCCGTACGCACGCAACAGTATATTTAATTTTTGAAATAACAAATAATTATCAGAGTCGCTTCAGTAGTAGTAACATTGTGACTAATTCCTGAAGCATTTATTTTGCTAAAATTTATTACTTCTTTGCTAATGTCGCAAAATAAAATTTTGTAATATTCTGACTTCTAACTATAAGCTTCACAATGAACTTCAAAAAGGCAAAATTTGGAGGGAAATTAAAACTAGAGATTATTTTTATGTTTGCAAAAATTTTGCATTCGCATACGAATAATGTTACAGCAAATGGTGACGTATACAAAATACGCGAAATTTGTAGCTTGCTAACACTGAGTTTTTTTAAGTATGCATTTTACCTATACCAAGATGTACTGATGTTTATTTATTGTATAGAGGTAGTAAAAATGTCAGTCTGGCTTTGCTTTCTATCAGAGAGAAATACATGTCGGATCAATGTGTTTGTCTTATGTGATTGTCGTCTGTATAAGAATTTGTTACTTATGGATCGTTGTATATGGTTAGCTGTGAAAATAAAAATTTTGATGAATCAGAGAACATAACTGTACAGTTATTAAAACCTTGTTTCAATAAGGGCTATATGCTGTAAAGGAATAACTGGTACTCAAGTTAAGCTTCTTTCGCAAAAATTATATCTGTGCGTGTGGCTTAATGAGAAAGGATGAAAAGGCAAGATAACAATAATTATTTAAAACGACGCGAAGCGATTTCGGCTCCGCAGTGTGTTTACAAGTCATGAAGGAGTATGATAAAAGACAGAGGTAAAGACATGCGAGTGAAATACTTAAACGCTGTAAAATGTGTAACTTCTTGATGAACTGCCCTCAGATGACAAGAGCAAACAGTGAAATTTAACATATAAAATAAAGTAAAAAGAAACTACTATACTGTTAAACTATAAAGAAAATACTAAATAATACAATAAATGAAATAATATTCTATCTGGATCTTCTAATAACAGCCTAGAAAAATAGAAAAAATAAAATTAGTAAACAATAAAAGAAAATATGGATAGGATTAAAGTCCAAAAGTGTAGAGCAGTTCATATTGTAGAGTAATTAGGTTAATTGAAGCAGAAAAGCTGAAAAGTATGCAACCGCCTTCGTCGGAATCGAACCAGGACTCTGGAATACCGGCCCAGCGTGCTACGTTACACTACGAATGCACGTTAGGAAGTGGGAGAAATACCTTAATACTCCTTTTTAAAGGGCGACTAGGGTTTTAGGGGACCTAGTCGCCAAATCCTGGTGCAGAGAATCATCCAAACCCTTTTTAGTTCGGGAGCCACTTGTAGAGACATTAGGTTTATTTTTTGGAAGCAACCAAGATGACAAATTAGCAACCTTCGCCGAGAAGCGAACCAGGACTTGTAATACCGCCAAGCGTGCTACCGTTACACCACGAAGACGCTAGGAAGTGGAGAATACCTTATATGAGTAATTCATAAATAACTAAAGTTCAGGGTAATATGTTCTGATGATCAAGGTTTCATAAATTCGGTGCAAGTACTTGTTCCCTAGGTCCATCGAAGAAACCACTTTTTTTAAAATCATAGGTTGTCATTTGGCTGATTTTACGATTGTATAGGGTCCGAGAAAACTTGGGTTTCAGTTTAAGACCAGGCCATATTGTGTATGCTTGTGCTACTAGATCATGAGGCTGGAACTTATGGGATGGTTTACATCGCAGATTGTAAGTTTTACGATTTTCAGCCTGGACTTTCAAAATCTGTTGTTTAGCTTCCTTGCGAAGATCCTCACGAGCGTTGATGAAATCTAACTGGATCTCTGCATTTAACAGCTCTGTAATTTTATCATGATTAGCAGATTTCATTTTAGTTCCAAACATGAGTTCAAATGGAGTTGTGTTGATCACTTGCTGAACTTCACAGACGTGTGTATAATTATTAATGGCAAATAGATTCAATGGCAAATAGACACAACAAGTCTTGTAATACTTGTTGTATTACAAGACAGTGTAGTTACTTGTAATAGTATAGACACAACTATACTATTACAAGTAATATACTGATTTCGAGAAATTAAAAGCATTCACCATAAGAAATGGAGTGGCATTGTCTCTTCTGAGTTTAGACAAAATGGACAACGCAAGAATAAAATGTTGCAATCATCTACCAAGAGTGTGAGGAAAATGGTATCGCAATCAAACTTATGTGCTGCTAAGTAAAGCTCAACTAAAAAAACTCGGTCTGCTTGAGCATATCACATCTCCAGCTTGCAGAAAACAAACGAGTTTTGAAGCTCATAGCATGAACTTAACTAATAGAATAAATTTCAGGTGATGTATTATGTACATCAAAGGTCTGGAACAATTTGCAGTATTAGAATTTCTAGAATTTTTAAAAGTTAAGATATGAACGAATTTTGAAAGGAGAAATATACATCAATGGCGAAACATTGCCAGGGATTGATTCTGAAATTTCTAAAGCGTTAACAACAACCAGAAACCACAAACAACTGGAAAAAATATCCATTTTTAACAATCCATTGTATCTTACTTTACTTACTTAATACGAATGATAAGATTAAAATAAAGCCCATTGAGAAATTATGTAGAATGTGCTAAAACTGATAGAAAGAATAACGTGCGACGCTAGTGCCAGATCTCCAATATAGGAATATACATGTATCGGAAAAGAGCATACACTGAGTATTAAAGATTATTGTTCAGTGTTGTAATTAATCATGTCTATTGTGTTTACCTTTTCTCATGAAATTTATTGAGAAATGTTTGTTTCAATGTGAAATTTAAAATGAATTTATTACGAAATTCCAAATATCCTCAAATGAGTGTGTCGGCAGACAAGATTTTATAACTAGAGCGTTATTTCTTTCTGGAAGCCACTCGCTATCTATTAGTATTTGAATTTATGAGTGTGGAATGCTTTGTTTTACCTTAAATTTTATTTCCAGTAAAAGTAAAAACATAACTGTAATGGTACAGTGCTTTTATTTATTAAAGTCACTGCTTTATTTAAGAAACGTTTCATTTTCATTTTGCAGATGAAAGACTCCAGCTTCATCCACCTGCTGATAATAATGAAGCGATGAATGTAGAAGGTCAGCGAAAATGAAGAAGATGCTATGTGTTAACCCGACATTATTTTTATATTTTTTTATGTTCATTGATATTACAATCTATTTATATGTGTTTAAGTTAATCTATTTATTTCTTCACAAATACCGTATTTATGCGAATCTAATGCGCATCGTTTTTGGCCAAATGTAGTATTCAAAATTAGGGTGCGCATTAGATTGCTGGCGCATTAGATTCGAGTGCAAAGTTCGGCGATGACGTCAAACCAAATATAAATCTTAACAATGGATTACTGTATTTCTCCGACTACATTCTATCGTTACATTTATCGTTGACACATTATTGCATAGAGGATACAAACTGCAGAGTACGTATAGTCAAGAAATGGAGGGCAAACAGAGAAGAATATCATATGACGCTACTTTCAAACGTAAAATAATTCTTTCATGCTGAAAAAAATGGCAATAGAAAGGCAGGGAGAGAGTTCAACGTAGCTGAGAGCAATGTTCGCTTGTGGCGGCAACAGAAATTGGCACTGTTTGCAACTAAAGCTAGTAGAAAGAAATTCACTGGCCCTTCACAAAGGAAGAAGAAACCCTAAAATTGAAGAAAAAGTTTTGGAATTTGTACGTGAAAGGAGGAAGAATGGACAACCTGTGACTAGTGACACCATAAGAAATAAAGCAAAAGAGGAGGCTGAAGTTCTTGGAATACCGAAACAAGAGTTTAAGGCTAGCCGTGGATGGGTGGATCGGTTTATGAAGCGGATGGGCTTATCTCTAAGACGCCGTACAACAATATGCCAAAAGCTTCCTGCAGATTTTGAGGGAAAACTACTAACATTTCAGCGGTATGTCATCACACTTCGGAAGGAAAAGAATTTTTCAATGGGGCAAATTGGCAACGCTGGCGAGACGGCAATTTGGTTTGATATGCTCGTAACTACACCATTACGAAGAAGGGGACTAAGGAAGTTATCATCAAAACTTCGGGATGTGAAAAACAACGCGTAACAGTGATGCTGGCAATAACAGCAGACGGGTGCAAACTTCCCTTTCCTTAATCTTCAAACGGAAAAGATCCCTAAAACCCCTAAGAATGAAAAGCTGTTCCCAGATGATGTCCTGATTCGAAACCAAGAGAAGGGGTGGATGACGGAATCATTAATGCTTGATTGACTCCGAAATGTATGGGAACGCCGTTCCGGTGGGCTCTCCAATCCACCATCAATGTTTTGTCTGGACGCAGTTCGTGGTCATCTCACCGACGACGTAAAAAAGAAGATGCACAGCCTAGGCAGTGATCTTGCTATAATTCCTGGAGGGATGACGTCTGTGTTACAACCCCTGGACGTTTTTATAAATAAACCTTTTAATGGGTACGTTCAGGCGGAGTACAAAAAATGGTTTTGTGAGCCAAACCGTGAATTGACACTGACAGAAAAGATAAGCGTGCTGCACCGCACATTGTTGCACACTGGGTTTCTGCTGCCTGGAAAAACATCGAAGCACCAATGATTATGAAATCTTTCAAGAAATGCTGCATTTCAAATTCATCGAATGGCAGTGAAGATGACGTGCTCTGGAACGCCGAGGATGACGATGATGAGGATGAGGAAAGAAGAAATGAATCTGCTTCTGACGAAGAGAGCTGCGAGGATTCCAGTGATGAAAACATTAATGAATAAAGACGTTTACTATTAATCACTGATTCTAGAAACTGTTAGCTAGATAGAAATATTACGATTTATTTCATGTTCATATTTTACGATAGGTACCGTATATACGGTAGTGGTAATTAAAAATGATTGTTTCACATAACAATAGCCTACTAATAGGTTAATTCTATGTTCTGCTACTTTACGTATAAAATATGTTGTATAAAATATGGTATTTAAATTTAAATAAAATTATCATACCATTGATTGATAGTTTATATGCAAATCCATTGTTGTATAAAATAAGATTCAATAAATTCCTCATACCATTGATGCGCATTACATTCGCCGACAAACAGTTTTTTTATTATTTAAAGTTTTAAAATGGGGATGCGCATTAGATTCGATGGCGCATTAGATTCGTATAAATACTGTAATATATGAATTAAAAAAAATCTACTCTTGCCAATTGTTCTGTGGGTCGCACTGTGACACCACCGCGTCTCTAGGACTTTGAAACTTACTGATGTAGTAGGGAAAAAAAACGTACCATTTTCCGAGCGCGTTTCCAATAAATGACGAAATTTACGGATTTTAAAAAAATGTATGTAAGAATTGCATTATATATAATTTTTTACTTTATTTTACAAAGTAAATCGTCAGAAAAAATTTAAAAATAAACATTTATGTAATTTTTATATAGCAGTGAAAATATAAGTACCTACATAATAAGGACATTTGGATAAATGGATTAAAAAACTCATTAAAATAAGGATAAAAAAGAACTCAGTGTTTTTTTTTTTTTTTTTTTAAATTTCAAAGAACAATGGTGATAAATCTGTAACAGTTACAGATACTTTGTTTGTAATACTACTAAAATAATCATGTATTCAAAACGCATTTTTCTTATGTGAAATACCAAGGAATCGTTTGTAAAAGTTACACATGTTGTGATTGTAATGTTACTGCAAGTAGTTATGTATCTTAATCATATTTATCGTATGTGAAATACCGAAAGATAAATTTGTAGCAGTTACAGATATTTTGTTTGTAATGCTACTAATCATGTATCTAAAACGCATTTTTTTATGTGAAATACCAATGAATTATTTGTAAAAGTTACAGATGTTGCGCTTGTAATGTTACTGTAAGTAGTTATGCATTTTGAGCGTATTTATAATATGTTAAATAACAGAGAATCTGTTTGTAATGTTTATAGTCATTTTCCTTGTGATGTTATTGCAAATAATGTTTGTATGTAAAACATATCTGCTTCATGTGATGGATAAAATGATACATCAGTAAAGATTATATATCTTTTGACTGTAGCATTACTGATTGTATTAAAGCTTGAACTTTCAAATTTATCGAAATTCAACTTCAGATTTTCAGTAATGTGAAAGAAATGCTGTATGTGTTTAGAAAGCGGTCTTTCTTATTCAAAGAACAGAAATACTTTGATGCTACGCAATATTTCAGCTCAACCTATATTAAATGCTCTCGAAAGATATAAAGCACTTCTTTCTAATTAACGCCAGTCTGATGTTAATGTTTTAAAATCCTTCTTTTACACTTGTATTTCTTTTCATTACTTAATTTTAAAGTAAAGAATACCTGAAAATTGCTGAAGAAAAAATCGTAGCTAAGGAGCATTTATATGCTATTCTTAAAATTTTAGTTACAAGAAATGGAAAGTAATATAGACTTTTCTTTTTGATCAGTAAATTGAGAAAGGTGGACATTATTTTTATGTGAACTATACAGAGGCTGCTCGCACATTTTTTAGACGATTTTGGTAAGCGGTAATAAAAAATCGTTTGCTGCAAAAGAAGTAATTTCAATTGTACTATGTTTTTAAAAGTCAAAATTATCGTCTGTGGCTTGAAAGTTTTGTTTTTATTCAAAATGGCGAATTTAACAAAGCAGTGTTCCAAAGGCTACATTTACGCTCTTTCCGAAGAGAAATATGCATACTCCGTTATACAAAAACGATGTGAGATTTATGGTTTTGTCGTCTAAAGCGTCGATAGCCATAAACAAGAAAGGAAAAAAACGTCAAATTGGAGCCTCAAGTGGGACAAAAATTCCAAACAAGTATCCAAGGAAAAAACGGACATCTTCGACTATTGCAAAGGTACGTTGTTTAATGTTAAAAGAAAATCCCCCTAGTCAAAGGACAGTTGCAAAATCATTAAAATGCTCGGTGTCCACTGTAAACAAAATAACCGTTGATTTAAATCTTAAGGAAGCGATAAAACGCAATGTGCATCGTCTTCTTCCAAAGCATATCGCTCAACGCAGGACACGCTTATCCAAAGAAAAATGGAAAACAGTTGTCACAATAGATGAAGCATGGGTGTATTTAAATGATTGTAACAAAAAAGAGCCGTTTATTATCATAAAACGGGACAAAAAAATTTAAGTACATGGTTCAAAGAATCGAAAAAAAGTTTTTTTGAGGGATTCATGATTGTTGTTGGTTTTTCTTATAATGGCAAGTTAAAAATAAAGAGAGTGCAAAAAAATGTCAAGATTAACTCCAAATACTATCAGGAATATATTTTATCGCCAATGTTTCTGAATGAAATACCATCGCTTTACCCACAGTGCCATCAACCTGTGAGACTTCATCAGGACAAAGCTAGCAGTGACACATCAAATCCACTGTAAATTTCCTAAAAGAAATGGAACAAAAAACTGGTATCAAGGCCATACCCTTCACTGTTATCCCTACTAAATCTCCCGATATATCATCTATGGATTTTTGTGCTTTCGGACTTTTAAACACTGCATTATACAAACGTTGTCCCAAAACCCTAACAGGACTCTGGAAAGCTGTTCGGGAGGAATGGGATAGAATGCTTGTTCTGCCACTTCAAAAGGCGTTATTATCCTGGAAATTGCGATGTCGAAAGATAGCTAAGAATAAGGGATGTCAAATAGAACATTTAAAACACAAGAATTTTATGTAATTTAGTTTTTCGAGTACAATATATATCGTCTAAAAAATGCGTGAACAGCCTCTGTATTTCAGTAATTATGATGCAGCTAAATATAATTACGTATCTTAAATAAGAAACTGACTGGAATTTTTCTGTGCATTAATTATTTTCAAAATTTGACTTTTAAATTTTGAAACTTCGATTTTTCAAAATGTAACTAATAAAATTTTGTTATTTTATTAAAAAGTTCTGTTATTTATTATGTATCAGCTAAAATATTCCGAAGTCTTAAAAAGCAAAAAAACAATGTTCATTTATATCTTATGGAAGAAGTGAAATTTTGCTTGAACATTATAGGTAATTAACAAATTCAGCAAGGTAATATCTATGTGAATGAAAATTAATTTATTTTGTTCAGTACGAAATAAACCTATGGGTTTTCATGCGTATGTTTCGATTTAATCCTCGACAGTCAGTCATATCCTGAAAAACGTTTTCAGCTGGAAGATGAATGTTAAATGTAAGGCCAGTAAAAGTTCAATTTTCTAATAACTTAATAAATTAGAAGTTGATGAATTAGTATTGTATATTTCACAGAATTATAAAGAATATAAAAGCAATCTTCAATTAGTATTCATTCATCATAATCTTCATAAGGAAATTTACTATGCATAACTAACTATTATTTAAATGCTGAATTTTAAATGTTTCTTATTAACAATTTCCCTGCACATTTTGATATCTCTTGTCCAGTTCTTACTTGTTTTAAACTGCATGAAACTTTTAACTGAGATATGTGAGTGTTTAACTAATATTATTGATAAAATAAATAATTATAGTCGCCTTATATTAAGCCTCCCTCCCCAAAACATTTTAAAAATATTTTCATGCAGGTAACACAGTTTTAATTAAAAAGCAAACTATTTTCAAACTTAAAATTTCTTTGTTTTTAAAAATTTACACGATTTCTTTAGAAGCATAACGTTCTACGTATAAAACTCAATCTTCTGCCCCACCCCTCAATAAAACGCGCTAGTTATTTTAGAATTTGGTACGAGTTTTCTATTCTCTACATAGAGAAATTTTCTACTCACCAAATTTAAACACACTTTCTTGAATCAAAAGCAATCGTTCCTCTATCCACAGATTTGACTAGTATCAGTTATACTGCACTGTGCATCAATGTGCTAAATCTTGTTAATCGTGTTAAAAAATTAGTATTTTAAGTGCCAAAATTGTTAAAAGGTTTTTAATATTTTTGGCCACACCATCCAGTTGTTCTGGAAAATTTTCATATTCATAAAAAATCTTTCCATTTTTTAAAAATAATTAAAAATGAAATTTTTGTTATCCATGAGTAAAAAGTTAGAAATCTGTTAGACTTATAAGAGATGATTCTCAACGAGCATATTTGCAGGGGGTTATTTCGGATAATGTTGCATAATTACATTAAGTATCTGAAACAACTCGTACTAGAAGATGAATACTCACAATAAAAAAATTGTATAAATGCAGTTAATCTAAAAAAAAAAAGTAATCTGTTTAGTACATATCTCTAGTGAACAAACTGTATTTAGTTTTCATTACAATTTTTACTGACATTATTCACAAACAAATTAGTAAAAACAGCATATATATTGTGTGTATCAAAACCCTGTACTTAATTTTCATTACAACTACATTATTTATTCAAATAATATGAAAAATAGTGTACACTGCGTATGCAATTTTTAATTTTTAGGTGGCAAAATCAACGAAGAAAAGGTGGACCATTTTACCTGTTTCAGTTTAAACTTTTTCATTTTTTAAAATAAAAATCTGCAGTGTAGTGCACATTCATAAAATGACTGAAGTTAAACGATGAGCAAAAGTAAATAAAATGAAAAGTTAATTAACCAAGCAATTGATATATGGGGTAAGAAATATCTCCTGGTAACTGCAATAATATTAAAAATATTCATAAAAATAATAAGTTGAATATACCATAATATATTTAAAATTATATCAAAAAAGAGATTAATTCTGTCAAAATGTTAATTTTTAATTAAAAAGCATAGATGACTTTAAAGCATACATAAATTTATTAACAGCATCTATTATATTTACAAATATTTATTTGTTTGATTTCATTTCAGTTATAATTTTCCTTACAACTGGTGGGATTTTAACAGAAGAAGAAATTTCTGCTAATCCTACTTGCAGGAATAGCATTGACTTAACACCACATTTGTGATATTCCATATCACATGCATAATACGTCATTATTAAGTTGATAACTGCATCAATGAATTCCAAATTCTGCATCAGTAAATCTCCTTCACATGAGATCGCCCATCGCCCAGCCATCTCTACGAGCGCTGGGTGTGGAGGCAATGGTTCAGTTGCAGCTTCACGGACATTCATCTGAGGGTTAAGTTCATCCTAAAAAAATAATTTTATATTATAATGTGTATATCTTAAACGCTACTTAAAAGTCACTCAGGAGTTTTTTCCAGTTTCCTGACTATTTTTAATAACTCCTAAACAAAGTGATTTAAATCTTTTTCTAGAAGAAAGGTATAGATGGTAAATCAATTACAACAGACTTTCTTTAAGTATTAGACTCTCTCTTAACATACCTAATAAAGAATAAAAGTATAACACTAGTTTTGAAAATTAGAAAAAGCCCAAGTGTTATTTTTTAATTTATTAGTTATTATTATAATTAGAATTAATGTTTGACAACATAACTCAAAAGCGTGAGGAAAAAATATTTTATTTAAATCATTAAGTTAAAAAGATTAAAGATCAGGAACAAGGTAAATTTGAATAAAAAATTATTAAAAATTACTAAATATGAAATTTGGGATACCGATTTTTCTTTTTCTTTTGGCTAATTTAGTGCACTAATCATTAAGCTACAGCGAACGCAAAAACGTAAAATCAGATAAAATTGCTACCAAAGACTAATTAGGCTTTAATATCAAAGATTTAATCAGCAATAAGCATACTGAAGCGCATTTCTAAATCATGTGTTTGCTATATTAATTTATAATATATTATAATATATTAAGTTTCATTAAATGTAACCAAAATAATACTTAAATTTTTTAGAATTAGAATTTTCTCTAAACTCTGTTCTAAGGTAGAATCAATCTTTTTGTATTATTATTCTACGAATTATATTACAAAAAATCTGCAGTTAGATTCTGAGATTTATTTAATTCTGTTTCTACTTGAATGATAGAATAATATTTTTTTTTCTCTTAGAAACATAATTGCTATTCTATCTGTGAATAAAAATATGACTACTTTCCACAGCTTTTTGAAATGCTTAATATTATTTTATTGTATCATCAAAACTTCTTACTAATTTTGTGAAAAAATTTTAACCCTAATACAAAATAAATAAATAAAGTAATAGTCTGGGCAATTTTTATAATATAAATTTTATGAATTGATGTAGTTACCACTTAAGCTAATGTTTCAAATCGCTGAGCATGTGACAAATCTTCTTGATGACCGACTGAAATATAAAAATTTATTAATATTCCCACGTAAAATCAACTATTACCTCTGCAACAAAGAAAGACCATTTTTCGTGGAAAAATTTTGGAATAAACTTCAGTGCAGTTTCTGCAGTTATATTTCGTGTTTTCATTCTTCTTTGTACAATTTCTAAGAAACCTCGGTTGCAAAAATTACTTTTAACTTTTGGTTCGATATCAAAGCCAATCAGACGAATCATCTCTCTAGTCAGCTAAAAGAAGAATAAAAACTGATATTTAATATTAAAATTTTCTGTACAGGCATACTAAACATTTCGAAGCAAGTACTTGGTAATTCTAGGAAAACAAGTTACATGGGAGAAAAGGTAAAAATAGTTTCATTTAGAGTATGTTGTAAGAGCATATTTTTTATTTAAAAACACAGCATATCTGTATTAAATGAGATTTAGAAAGATATATGCCGCCCAACCGGTCATAAACATGGGCACAGCCCCAGCCCACCTACCTAGCCGACGAAGTCGGCTTTATGGCTCAAAGTAGGGCTAACTCCTCCAACGCAAAAACGATGGGGCCAGCGAGCCGGCCGTGCCCCATCTTCTAATAATAAACATAATATTTAAACTTCTCAACAAGCCAGCAAAAATTAAGCCTTTAATTCTTATCTAATGCAGCTCCAAGAAACCAAGCCCGAGCTCCGAGTAACTAAAAAGTTAGTAAAATGAAACTAAACAAACTCAAAAATACAAGTCTGAAATGGTTGCCAGCTTATAATCTTCTTTTAAAACTCTTATTCAAACAAAACTAACAGAATAAAATTATAATAATAACTGGTTATAAATCAAAATAATAATAAAGACGCCACATAATTAATCATACAGCTAAAACACAAAACTAAAACTTGTGTACTATTGTTACTTTTAATCTACAATCCCTATCTTATCCATATTGTTGTTTACAATATTCATTATGTCTCTTGCGAACTTTTCTAATACATTGTATTTAATATCCTCTATATTTCTTACATTATAATAATCCCTCACTCTCTGAGTTAGACCACAGTACTCGACGAAGTGTTCTGCGTTGTCAAGAATATTGCAATCGAGGCAATTTCTATTGCCCTGGAGGTTAAACCGATTCAAGTAATCTGGAAACCTGCCGTGATCAGTAATAATCTGATTTACGTCTATGTTATCATAGATTTTCATGTTCTTTTTGATCTCAATTTTTTCCAAATACTTTGTCCTTTTTCGGCCATTTTCCATCTATCACTCCATTCTTCCATATAATTCTCTTTCATTTTTGTGATTATCTTTCTTCTTGAATGTTGCAATTCATAATTAATGCCATTCCTCAGGGCAGCCTCTTTTGCCAGTGCGTGGCCTCATTGCCCTAATAACCTTTATGGGCTTTAATCCAATGCAGTTTAACATAAAGAATTTTACATAGCATACAATAAATTTCTTTGATATCATTTAGTATCTGATTTTTTGGCTCTGGTCGGGAGAGTGCCGTAAGCACAGACAAAGCATCTGAATAAATATGCACATTATATCTGACTTTTAAATTCTTGTATATCCAAACTAAGGCATCTTTTAGTGCTATCATTTCAGCTTGATAGACTGAATTCAGAGGGTTCAAGATTATTTTCCATTTTTCAATTTCGATACCGTGAAAATACACTACAAAAGCAGCCCCGACACCCCCCTCGATCTCAGAGCCATCAGTATATACTTCAATATCTCCATCATTAATGACAATATGATCATATAATAAACAAAATAAGTTACATGGATTGATCTCATTAATATCAAAATTAGACATACAATCAATATTGATTTCTATATTTTTGCATTGAATCTTTTCTAATAAATTATTTCTTAGTAAAAACTTTTCATAATACAATTTATAGTAAATTGAGAGGAGGTGCACCGGCAAGCACACACAGAACCCCGTCGAAACTGTTCTGAAAGCTCTAGTCATTGCCAAAAGCCAACTTCTCTGCAATGAGTCCAATTTAGATCTTATTCTCACCAATTCCCCTGCTCGAAGAACCCATGCTCCAACTCCATACATGATCTTTGGTAGCACGACATTCATATAAATCTCTTTTAAAGTATAGCTCTTCTTCTTTAATATCACCGGGGTAAACGTATTAAAATAGAATGTTAAAATCTGCTCCACTCCTCTCTGTATATATTTAAAATGATTTATAAAATTCAACTTATGATCAAAGACGACTCCCAGATATTTCATCTCATTTCCAAATTTAATATTCTTTTTATCAAATTTTAGCTTAGGAGCACGTACTTTAATACCCCCTTTAGAATAGAGTATAGCTTTAGTTTTTTTTCTATATTAAAATTCACGTGGTTACTCTTACTCCACTCCATGAATGTTTCATCCACAGTCTGAAAACTCTTATCCATTTTCTCAAGAGAAACATCATAAACTAAAACTAGAATGTCGTCAGCAAAGCGGTAAATTTCAGTATTGGGGATATCAATCAGGATATCATTAACTATGAGGTTCCAGAACAGGGGAGCGCTACAGGAGCCTTGAGGGCAGCCTTTTCCGATATTGTAGGATAGGCTTCGCAAACCATTTCCATAAAAATAAATAAGCCTTCTATTACATAAAATCAACCTGAAGAGCTATTTCGTGACATTAAGTTGGGCAATGATCTGGAGGACCTTTGAGCGATCAATGGAGTCAAAAGCTCTGTTAAGTATTTTTTGTTACCATGTAAGGATCTTAAGTTTTACTAACGTTTATTTTATTTTAAATCTTTACTATCACTTCTTATTTTCTACTTCCGGCCAGAATTATAAGCGTTAAGGTTTTTATGCAAAGTTTGTCTGGCGAACGCCAAGTATTTAAGTTGTGGCTTTTTGCCAAGCGAGAGAGAGGAAGCAGTTGAGTCGAAGCAGGCCGCTTACCTTAGAAGTTTTACGCAGTTGCTGTTTGCCTTCCAGGCCAGAGGTTTTAATCCTCTTGATAAATTTTAAACGTATTGTAGTGTTCACAGTTCTCTGTACTACATACGGCTTCCTGTTAATATAAGGCCAATCTTCCACGTTTATTATTCTAAAGTTAAATTAGAGTTTAGTTTTATTTTTATACTTTTACGTTAGACCCCAAGTGGCGGGTCAGTGTATTCCGAAGTACGGAAGTTATTGTAATATAGAGAAAAATAAAGGGTTTTGTATACCCTTCGTGTGTATCCTGTCTACTTCCCACAATTAGTGAACATAGCTTTAGTAAGCTCTCTGTTCCGAGTCAGGTCCTTGCATGTTCCCGAAGAAGGTAAGAAGGAACATTGAACCTGATAGTGGCGCCCAACGAAGAAGAATAACCATGGCCGAGTTTCAAGAAGAACCTGTGCTGCCTGCAGAAACGGCTCAGAATCCAGAAATGCCAGCTGCCGCCCTGGAAGGATTTGGTTACATCGTCCAGACCATGCGCGCTTCGATGAAACCAGAAGCAACATTTAATGGAAACTCACCGGTAACCAGTTTTTTGGAAAAATTGGATGACCACTTCATGCTCTACCCCCGTGCACGAGTTTCAAAAAGTTACCTTAGCTACCAGCGCTTTGAGGGGCCAAGCGCTTAACTGGTTCAAATGTATAGGCAGAAGTCTCTTGGGTCAAGCAGGAAGTCCCACCTATACTTACGAAAATTTCAAGACTGCCCTACTAAAAGCCTTCCCTGTTGTAAGGGATCGTGCGAAATTAGAAACGGAACTTTTCAGTATATATCAAGCAAAGAATCGAAAACCTCTCAAGCTTTATTTTAAGAAAAATTCACGTCTTCAAACTCTTGTATGGAAACCGTCCGGATCCTGAAATAATTCAAGTGATTTTGCCGAGGTTACTGCCCCAAGTGCAAGACTTTATTGAATTAAGAAATCCGACTACACTGGAAAAGTTATTTGAGCTAGCAATCCAGTTTGAAAGTAGAAGAACGGCGGACGTCGAAAGAAGACGCCAATATCAACAGCGAAACCAATTTGGTACGCCAAGACTACAGCAAACTCAAGCACACGGCTACGGAGGCAAAGCGAATCAGTGGGCAAGGAAACCCGAGCATTCAAAAACAGCCGGCGAACGTCGACAGTTCAATAGCAATCCAGGAAAAAAGTCTCAAGGCCAGTGGAAAAAGAAGGAAAGCACGGAAAGGAAAAATAATTTAAACTAAAACGGATTTCTGCTGACGGAGAGGGTGCGGAAATCCGAAGGCCACGAAAACCCCTCTTCCTTACAAGTTAAATACAGTAATGGTGAAAAATTTGACTCTTCCGAAGATTGAAGTGTTGGTGAATAATATCCCAGCCACCGCACTCCTGGATACAGGCGCGCAGTGTTCCTGTGTGGCAGAAGATTTTTTTAGGAAGTATTTTCGCAAATACCGCATATATAATTCGGATAATACGACAGTGTTAGCGGCGCAAGGAGAAAATGTGTAAGTGCGTAGGTAAAGTACCTTTGTATATCCGTATCAAGGACGAACAAGTAAAGGTGATGTTTTTTATAGTAAAGAATCTGCAAGCACATTTAATCTTAGGAATAGATTTTCTTTCAGAGGCACAAGCAACGCTGGATTTTAATGAAGCGTCCCTTAAGCTGACAATGAAACCAGTTCGTACTGAAAAGGCTGAACCGCCGATGTTAAAACTTGACCACCTGCCTAATGACGAGCAAGAAGAATCCGACAAGTGGTAAGTGAATTTGCTTCGTTATTTAGTGATATTCCAGGATTTACTCAGGTTACTAACCATAGTATTGACACCGGAGATTGCAATGCCAGTTCGCCAAAAACCATACCGGTATGATAAGAATAAGGAAAAAATTATAGAATGGCATATTACCGATATGCTACGTAAAAAGATCATAACGCCCATCTCAAGTAGTTATGCTAGCCCGGTGGTTTTATGTAAGAAAAATAATGACTATCCTTTGGACATCCAAAAAGGTGGAGATTCGCTATTGATTACCGTAAATTAAACTCCATAATCCATAAAAATATCCGGTATATCCGTTACCGATCATTAGAAGAAATTCTAAGGAACATAAAATCATCAACCAAATTTATGACGACTTTAGACTTAACGACTGGTTATTTTCAAATAGGGGTTAGGCCTGAGGACGTGCCTAAGACTGCTTTTATAACCAAGTCTGGCACTTATGCATTTTTGCGTATGCCGTTTGGCCTTTCAGGGGCCCCGGCAACATTTCAGCGATGCATGGACATTG